AGAAAGAAAGAAAGAAAGAAAGAAAGAAAGAAAGAAAGAAAGAAAGATTAAAACATATGAAGGACAATTGCAGGATTTGGGTATGGCTACTCCAGAGAAAAGAAGGGCTAGGGGAGACATGATAGCAGTGTTCCAATATCTCAGGGGCTGCCACAAAGAAGAGGGAGTCAACCTATTCTCCAAAGCACCAGAAGGAAGGACAACAAGCAACAGATGGAAACCAATCAAGGAGAGAAGCCACCTAGAGCAAAGGAGAAATTTTCTGACAGAATCAGTGGAACAACTGGCCTCCAGAAGTTCTAAATGCTCCATCACGTGAGGTTTTTAAGAAGAGACCGGACAGCCATTTATCTGAAACGGTGTAGGGTCTCCAGCTTGAGCAAGCATTAGAAGACCTCGAAGGTTCCTTCCAGCTCTATTCGGAATTTGAATTGGCTTGGAGATGTCCGTCTTTCTTATGATTGTTACTGACCTCAATCTGCTGGAGAGCTTCTTCCCGTTGACGGATCACTTCTAGGTCCTCTTCTGTGATCTCGGACAGCAGGGCGTTTTCCTGGCTCTCTTCCAGCTGTGAGATGTCTCCACTGCCGAAGATCTTCTCATCATCAGCCAGGTCGGAGAAAGGTGTCTTGGGGCTTTGCTGAGGAGAAGAACCAAAACTGTAGAATTAGAACGGTGGGATTCAAAAGCTAAAAGAGAGAGACACGTAGGAAGGACACCATTATCTGAGGGGACTACGACAGGTGAAACTCAAAAAAAAAATTAGAATATCGTGCAAAAGGTCATTTATTTCAGTAATGCAACTTAAAAGGTGAACCTAATATATGAGATAGACTCATTACATGCAGAGCAAGATAGTTCAAGCCGTGATGTGTCATAATTGAGATGATGATGGCTTACAGCTCATCAAAACCCCAACTCTACAATCTCAGAAAATTAGAATATTGGGAAAAGGTTCAGTATTCTAGGCTCAAAGTGTCCCACTCTAATCAGCTAATTAAGCCATAACACCTGCAAAGGGTTCCTGAGCCTTTAAATGGTCTCTCAGTCTGGTTCAGTAGGAATCACAATCATGGGAAAGACTGCTGACCTGACAGTTGTGCAGAAAACCATCGTTGACACCCTCCATAAGGAGGGAAAGCCTCAAAAGGTAATTGCAAAAGAAGTTGGATGTTCCCAAATTGCTGTATCAAAGCACATTAATAGAAAGTTATGTGGAAGGGAAAAATGTGGAAGAAAAAGGTGCACAAGCAGCAGGGATGACTACAGCCTGGAAAGGATTGTCAGGAAAAGGCCATTCAAAAGTGTTGGGGACTTTCACAAGGACTAGACTGAGGCTGGAGTCAGTGCATCAAGAGCCACCACACACAGACGGATCCTGGACATGGGCTTCAAATGCCGTATTCCTCTTGTCAAGCTGCTCCTGAACAACAAATTGCAGAAGCGCCTTACCTGGGCTAAAGAAAAACAGACCTGGTCTGTTGCTCAGTGATCCAAAGTCCTCTTTTCTGATGAGAGCAACTTTTGCACCTCATTAGGAAACCAAGGACCCAGAGTCTGGAGGAAGAATGGAGAGGCACACACTGCAAGATGCTTGAAGTCCAGTGTGAAGTTTCCACAATCTGTGTTGATTTGGGGAGCCATGTCATCTGCTGGTGTTGGTCCACTGTGCTTCATTAAGTCCAGGGTCAACGCAGCCATCTACCAAGAGATTTTGGAGCACTTCATGCTTCCTTCCTCAGATGAGGTGTATGGGGAAGCTGACTTCATTTTCCAGCAGGACTTGGCACCTGTCCACACTGCCAAAAGCACCCAAACCTGGTTCAGTGACAGTGGGATTACTGTGCTTGATTGGCTAGCAAACTCACCTGACCTGAACCCCATAGAGAATCTATGGGGCATTGCGAAGAGAAGGATGAGAGACATGAGACCGAACAATGCAGAAGAGCTAAATGCCTCTATTGAAGCATCCTGGTCTTTCATAACACCTCAGCAGTGCCACAGGATGATAGCTTCCATGCCATGCTGCATTGAGGCAGTAATTGCTGCAAAAGAGGCCCAAACCAAGTACTGAGTACATATGCATGCTTATACTTTTCAGAGGTTCGATATTGTTCTGTGTACAATCCTTGTTTTATTGATGTAATATGTAATATTCTAATATTCTGATTTTCTGAGACTGTGGATTTGGGGTTTTCATGAGCCTATAAGCCATCATCATCACAATTATGACAAATCACGGCTTGAACTATCTTGCTTTGCATGTAATGAGTCTATCTCATAAATTAGTTTCACCTTTTACGTTGCATTACTGAAATAAACGAACTTTTGCACGATATTCTAATTTTTCGAGTTTCCCCTGTAGACAGCTGGAGGAACATAACCCAAACCAAACATTACACGAGTGGGTTAATTATTTCCTTAATGTATCTTTTAAAAACATTTATATACAAGTGGTCCTGGACTTACAACTATTCTCACCTCGGCTTCTTCAAAAAGCACTAAGCAGACTTTTTGTCCCGGCAAAACTCCTTTTATTAAATGAAGGTGAATTTCTTGCATTCACCTTCAGCCAAAGGCCTGGCAAACAGTCTTTCAAGGGTGTAATTAGGAGCACTGACCTTATCTAGCTTGGAGAGCTGTCAAGTAAATATTTTCAAATGCAGTGCTGACAAGGAAGGACTCAGCGCAGAGTCTCTGAGATGCACAGTCCGATCTTCACACTTCTGGAATGAACGAATTGTTTCCTCCAAAAGCCCCCTCCCCTTTTGCTCCTATTTTAATCCATATGGGAGGGGTCATTCACCATCTACCTGTGGCCTTACTCCCAAGTCGACCCTTATATTGTAATTTTTGTTTTCTTTTGGCAGCTCTGCGCATGTGCAGGCTGGGAAGCTGCCCCCTCGCCTCACTGCTGTCCAACTCCAAAGGCAGCTGATGACTGCCAGACTGCCCTGGCCCCATCTCTGCCTCTGATGCAGAGCCCTCACCCAAGCCTTCCTCAGCCTCCAGGACTGGCCCTTGTTCCTCCCCAACCTCCTCACTGTCCGACTTTGCTGCCAGCTCTGCTAGCCACCAGCAGGCCACAACAACAACCACATTTGAACCCAAAATTTCTGTTATTTAGGATTCCGTAATTCCCTCAATTTTGCTGAAACGGGAATATTAAATATGATGTACGCCCCAGGTTATTAAATGTGATGATCCATACATTTGTCAGATAAAGGGGCTTTGTAGGAAATAAACCTGATAAATACTTGAAATACAACCAAGTGTTCCAGAAGGCAGTGTAGAAATTCAAAGGGTGGAAAATTGAATTACTCCTTTGTGAAATTAAAACTCACATGCTAATTCAGCTCTGTCAATTGCATATATTGTTTATCCCTCAAATATAAAAAGGTTTAGATCCAGTATTAGACACAGTTAGAAAAGTAGCAAGGCAATCAATTGGACATAAGACATTAGTAAGTTAAGAATTGTAAATTACATAACTTATGAGGTAAAGTTTGCTTATATATATAGGTAAAGTTTGCATAAATGTTGCCCTGTTTAGATAGCTCTTACCACCAATCTAGATTTAGGCTATTAGGATAGTACAAGGCTCCAAATTCTCTATTATCATCAGAGGACGGGTTGCTCCTGGTTCGCACTGGTTCAGGTGAACTGGTTGCTAATTTTATGGCCAGTTCTGTGAATCAGCAAATCCCACCCCTGCCTACCCCACAGCACCTCTCCCAGGAGTCCCCACGTGGCCCGTTTTGGATCTCAGGTAAGTGCAGAGGCTCAGGGAGGGTGAAAAATGGGCCTCCAAGATGGCGTCAGTTTCATGCCCCTGATGGAAACTGACTCTGAGGAAGAGGAGGAACAGCCAACAGGGAGTGTGGCGCCAGAGGTGGAGGAGGAGGCTGGGGAAAGGCAGAGGCCGGCTGAGCAATCAGAGGAGGATCCAGGCCCATCCCCTATCCATCCTAGGGCATGTAGGAAGGAGAGGATCAGGGAAAAGCGAGGTCTACTCAAGAGGAGATTACCATGATCCTCCTTGTGGCTTGCAGGTGGGAGCTATGTATATAAGTTTGCAACTGCACAGTTAGAATTTGCAGGAGTCAATTTAGTGTTCATCATGAAAGAGGTTTGTCTTTGTTGGCGTTCATGGACTCTCCTTGGTTATTTTCCTGGAGTTTATGATTAGTTATCTTGGCTTGCTTCTGAACTCTGGTCAATGCGGTTTGTTTTGGTTTTCTTTTTGCCTCATTACTTACTTTTGTGACTTTAAACTGTGCCTAATAAAACAGCGAAGTTAAGTTGAAGGCCTTACCGGACTTTAATGTATGTTTTGGGTTTTGGTTTTTTTTGAGAGACTACGGGTCATCACAGTCAGCATTCAAAGTACTGTAGAGTAAGTTCAGCACCAGAAAAGTAAACACAGATGGCTGACGCTTCATTTAACTTCTTTATAAACACATCTAGTAAATTTTACAATACCAGTTGTAGATTTTTCCAATATGGAGCAAACTCAAACAGAAACAGACATCCGTTTCACTTTAGTTCAGCACGCAAGCAAGACACACAGCAGAAGAGCGAAGCAGTTTCATTTTCAATAGACAGAGTTCAACACCGCTTCAGAGCTGCAGAGCTTAATACAGAGGCACGCCTAGGCTACTTCTAGTTTCAGTTTCCAAACAGTCCTCATTGGGTGACTTGGTTGCTATGCCTATTCATTGGCTGACCTTGTTACCGTGCTCTATTCCAGTCCATGAATATACTCTGACACTCAGCCAGGTTCGCTTTAGGATTGACATCTCCAGCATGTCCTTTAAAAGCTATATTTCTATCTTTCTATTCAGCACCTTCTCCTTCCTGTTCATTTCATGGCTTCATCTGCTGGGCCAACAGACAGTCACGTAACAACATGAGTGAAATAGAATAATTTCTGGAACAAAACCATAAACACTCCCTCTTCCTTCTTGCCTGCCATTGACATCATTTTTCCCCCTTTTTTCAAGAGTGCCTTTTATTTAACAAGCAGGCAGTTCAATCACAATAAAGAGACAATGGAAACCTGGTAGAGTCCCAGCCAAGCTGAGGTTATGTTTGAAAGGGGTCAACTTTTATCCACCCTGATTGATCAGGATGGTGGTTTCCCAAAATATATTTTTATATATATATATATTTTATTTTAACAACAAAACAACATAGACATACCACATAAAACATAAAAATATCATCCTTCTTCATAAATTTACAAACAGTGCATCGATTGGTTTACCACTTTTTTTTTGTGCATCCATTTCCTAATCACTAATATAATTATATTACATAATAGCTCATATTATCAATCAATCATTGTATAACCTAATATCATCACTAAAAAAAAATCATTTATCTATAATTTTGTTAGTTCATATTTTAACGAGATAACTATAGTTTACTTAGTTTATTTTGCAATAAATCATAAGATCATACCAAATCTATCTTGATAATGTTTTATAAAGATAATATCAAGAAAAAAAAAGAAAAAAATTTTTTTATGCTAAATCTGAAAAAGAGGTGAATTATAGATGTCCCAAGATCTTTTAATAAGTGTAAGCATCGGCTAAATTTTTAAATTATTATTATTATTATTGCATTTCAGGCTCTTTT